ATTGAGTCCTTGAACGCCGTTTCTGCTATTCTTTTCATGGGTTCCCACTGAATTCAGAATAACATCTAGTCAACTGTACTTATGTGTGTCAGATCGGGACGGACTATTCACATACTTTCCAGTGATCACCGCCGGTCTCTACGATCCGTCATCTAAATCTACCACGGTGAAAGTAACCGGCAGTCTGAACGTCTTCCACAACCAATCCACAACAAAAGTTTCGAACTGGAAGGGTTCATTCTTGGACGTCACCAAACTCCAAGAACAAATCTTACCTTTGCCAGCGTCCATCTTCTTCACAGGTCACTTCCCTTCCCAGGTCATCGTCCACTAAGTCACCTTTGATGGGGACATTATGCTGGCGAAAACGTTTTCATATTTGGTCGATTGATCCGCGACTTCACGGACGCTTCAAAACAAGACAAGAGAGCCCCTCTACATCTTGGTTGTGATCAACTTGTAATCTCCGTTCTCGCCAAATGGGATGCTTTATTGACAGCGGGTGTTTTGGATTGCTTTCACGCTGCAATAGAAAAAGCATACTCCCTTTCTTGGATTCACATTCGACAGAAACTAAGCGAGTATCACACCAGAACATTTACCTCAGTCTTGAAGGTGCGACCCAAAGAATTCCGCTATTTGTCCTCGTAAAACTTTGGCGGCCATTGAAAAGCATTGTAGGACTCACCCAAGGATAACGCCGAGCGCTTGTAGGTCCGCTCCAGTGTCGTGTAATCCACGTGCTGAATACCATATCTACACTTGTGGTCAGACGAGAGAATCTCTCAACCCAAGATAATGACCACGCACTTCATGGATTTTCCAATCATCCATTCTGAATTGTCAAGCATTGCTACAACGACTCGTCAGTGGCAAATCTTTACGTACAACTTTGCTAGAACTGACACCAAGTGAAAGCACCCTGGATCGGGACATTGTCTTCGTGGATGGATAGCAACATTTCGCCGAGGTACGTGAGTAAAGAGTCTGAATATAACAGATGTGTTAATTAGATAGTCAGAAATGTGACTGAATGCGAACTCGTTCGAAGCACATCCTCCTTTATTTGCGATATATCCGCGTTCGCGTAGGCGAAAGGCTCGATGAAGCCGAACTCGGAAACGTACTGGCCACCAGCAGTCAGAAATTACCCGTATAAAATTGTCACGTACGCACCAATTTATTACTTGGCCATCGAGAGTGGAGGCCTTTCAGCAAAGCACGAATGGCTACCGGTGCCGCTTGGAGGGGGATGGTTACTGGGTCACCAACAGGACCTGAAGGCCAGCCGTAATCCGAATCGAAATATGTAGGTTCGTTACAGACGGGCCACAAAGGGTGGGAAAGATTAGCCACGCATGCGTCGATCCCTGTGTCCGGAGCCTTTACCCATAATGAGAAGTAGGAATCAATAGAAAAGAAATCCGCGGAGCCGAGAATATCAATCTTTTCCTGATCCGTAAAGCGCGGGAGATACTCGGCTGGGAGAGTGTCTTTGACGATGTCGGGCCAATCGCCAGTTGTGTGTACAGGGTTTGAGAAGAGGCCGATTTCGAACGCTGCATGGCGTTCGACAGCAAGCGCGTCCTCAGTGGAGTTGCTTCTCCATGGCGTGCCTCTGTAGGATGTCCAGCGGATGCTAGCAAGAGAAGGAGGGACATAGTCACATGTAATCGCTGTTCTTGAAGCCGATCTCTCCAGATATATTCATTGCGCGAAATGCTAGGGATAAAATAGATAAATCAGTAGCGCGTTATGGAGGTGCGTTGACAAACCCTTCACAGCTCCTGCATGAGCCTTTACTATGATAAAGAATCAGGACAAGGGGAGGTCATGGGGAAGAAAGGATGCAAAACGTACATATATTGTGCGCGCAGTGATAAGGGGCGGTGGACGAGTTTACACCAGGGGCAAACGTGACGTCTGGTCTCAACAATAAGCTCGTAAAGGTAGGTCTTGATGTACAGAAAGTTTACCGAATGGATAGTAGGCAACCTGGCCACAATAAATCCTCGGCTCATTGAAAGTATACCTACAGCAGTTGAGCATATTTCCCACGACAAGAAGCTATGGCCACCAACCAAGTTTTAACACGGCCATTGTATGCCTTGAATACCGTCTTGGCGTAGCTAAAAATCGTATAAGTACACAAACCGTCGTATCCTTCTAGCACCCACTTTACAAAGTCGTCGACTATTTCTGGCGATGTGAAACCTCCGTAGTAGGTCTGAATGGCGAGAGGAGTATCCCAGTGGACTATTCATAAGTATTCAACACCGAGGTCCGGCTCACGAACACAAAGAAAATCTTACACAATGTCACAACGGGCTCCACACCATGAGCCAAATGGTAATCAATAACTGCAGCAGAAATGATCAGCATCACTTACGATGCTGTTAGGACGAAACTGTACCATCAGAATAATGATCAATGCCAGCCGTATTAATGGGAGAATCGGCGGCACCAAACGGGTAGATCCTCGCCCACGAAATCCTAAGAAGTATTGTTCAGATAGGTCGAGTCAATGGGGGTGCTGGCACGTACGAGAAAGAATGTGCGGTAACACCAAGAGCAACAATGCGCTGGACATCTTCTTTGTACAGGAAGTAATGAAGATCGGTGACATCAGCTGCAATACTCTCAGCCACATTGATTTCGTGTGATTATCTCGCATACTCACCAGTCGTGTTATCGTACACACCGTTTGGTTGTCTGGAAGCCCAGTCCCACGTTGTCGGACCCTTTCCTTCATTCTTCGTTGCACCCTCGACTTGGTATGCGGAAGTAGCGACTCCGAACTTGAAGCCCTTCGGGAATTTCACATCCGGTAAGACGTCCTTCGGGATGGGAGCATAGAAGGATGGATACAAAGGTGGGGGAGAGGGTGGCAGGGTCACCGCAGCGCTGGGCACACGGGTAGTAGTGAACGGAGGCGCCTCGACAGGTCCGATCTGTAGAGCTAGGAATGTCACGTTGTAGGACGATCAGCGAGAATACGAACGATATCCCAAAGTCGTTCCAACCCTTCTGACGAGTAATCACGAGGAATTGATCCGACTGGAGGAAAACTAGCCGTGCCCGTTGGGATACTTGTGGGAATCGGTGTACTAGTAGTGGTGGATACTACCGAAGAGCTTGTTCTCATACTATCCGACTGTGCGAATACTACAGAAATACAGCTCCATCTGATGAGGAAGGCGAATGAGAATAATAGTACCCAAAGAAGCATCTGGGGGAAAGAGGGTTAAAGAAAGCTAGAAGCAACCGTAAAATATCGCACCTATATATGGCCTCTTTCCGTATACATATGCATGGAGAGTCACACGTCTTTCTTTTCTCCATCACTCTCGCTCTCGGACTCGGACTGCTAACCATTGTGACAGCGTGACGCTTCTTTTCGGCACTGGGTCATGGCCAAGGCTGCAGACGGCGATAGCCTTCCCAGATTATCGTGGTAATATCCTGCAAGGACGTGACACCTCTCGATCATGATACAGCTACTGCCTGGAAACGACCTCGCACATAGTGCTATGTGAGGTAGCCAAACCACTGTGAGTAAGGAGATTCGTCCGTTAAAACTCACCGTCGTAGACAAGGCAAAAGTTGGTTGAAATTGAATACGCAACGCTAGTATCTGTTGACTTACCGGCATTGATTATTAATCATTGGTACAAATTCATGGAAGAGATGACACATCGCTAAATCACACCTAAGCAGTAAGTGAACACTGAACTTGATGCTCCATATAATTACCGCTGATACTTACATTCAATGTATGGCCGTTGTCCTTGTCACTACAACTATGAGTGCAAATCTGCTCATGTGGTCAGCTATGTGAGCAGGCACAGGAGATACCTGCTACAACATGCAAAACAGTTGGCAAGCTTCGAGGTTTGAAAACTCTGAAGGCCTATCTCCACTGGTCGTATAGTATTCAAGAGTGTAGACCCTTTCAATATGATGATGTTCTTGGGGAATTCAGGATCGCCAGGCGGCGAGCGTACATCAAAAGGGCGCTTCTTTGGGTGATTATCGGAGAGAATACTAGTCAGACTGCGTTAACGTTGAACAAATTTGAACCCCGGGTTCCTGTCTCAAACGCGGTCACCTGCTCCAAATGCTTACTAAGGTACACGCTTTGTGATCACCTAAGCTAGGACCGGGTCAACCGAGCCCACCTTTTTTTGGATTCTGCACTTCGTCAACCGCGGTCCTCAGCTCTTCTCTTTCCTCTTGTTCTAATCCCTCTGATCCTTCATTTGGATTCCCCTGGATAATCGGCATGTGATGTGCAGTAAAGTAACGGACTTTGGTTATTTTTACGTCTTCGGTTGGGCCACTTGGGTGGATGCTTTATCAAGTTACGGTGATAGGGCACCATTCGGTCCTGTATTGGTCAAGATAGGAAAGGCAGTAGTTGCACTACTCGAGCAGAAACATGTCCATGCGAACTGCCCATCCTAGCTCGCGCGCGCGACTATTTGCAATGTACACAGATGCCCAGCTCAAATCTGGACGATCTTGCCATATGGCGGAATATTTTCAAATAATGCATGCTTTAACTAGCAGTGGGGATGTCGGAACTCGGAGGCCGCTTTTCATGCGATGGTGTCAGTGAGTATCTCTCATTTGCAAAGTGCTCGCATGCTTCGCTCACACCCAATAGTAGACAAGTTGAATAAATCTATGAGGGAACCCTAGTGTTTCCGAAGTTATCCGTCTCAGTTTGTGGGTCGAGTGCGGCGGTGCACATACCATATACAAAGTTCCGCCTCAACCACTGGCACTGGCAACTTCTGGCACTCGTTGCATAATCTTCAATTGAACAAACGGCGATACGTTCAACAGCTTTGAGGGCCATCAGTTCTTTGGCGAGCGAGCCTTACTCAAGCCTTACTTTCCAGTCGACATTCATACTTAGTAGAGGCTGAGGCGGATGGGTAAACATTTACTTTTCAGTCTACTGAATCAGGAAATGGAAACCACACGCGCACCGTCGAGGCGCTATGGTGTAGTGGCAGCACATGGGATTCTGATTTCAGGTGAACATTGGTCATTTCCCATAACCCAGGTTCGAACCCTGGTAGTGCCTTTTGATCTAGTTTCTCCTATTCTACAGTGCTTTTTCTCGTGCGACACATACTTGGTCAATGGCGGTCCTTACTAGACTATAGCTTCTCCCATCAGTCGGAGTCCCAAGTACAGAGGAGTGTCGTCCATCATTTCTGGTTCGTGCCAAGAGATTGCGACAGCTTTTTCTTGCACTGATATTTTTGTTTGGAGATATATATATGGAATCATCAGTACAGAAACAAGACAAGCTTCTTCCGGGAATACTTCAATAATCTGCATGTTTACTGAATACTGAAAATCCTGCTCATTCTCTCATCCTATAATCATCAACCGGCCCGTGGCTCATCCCATGCCCAAAGCAAATGCACCCGCTTCGGCTTTGGCGACTCGCGAGTCTTGAGCTGAGAATCTACATTGGCCCGAACAGTGTGCCAGGCGAGAACAATGGACAGCAATCTGTGAAGGAGTTCGAACACGAGTCCGAGTGCGACGAATTGGCATGGAGGCAATAAATTCGGAATATCAAGTTTCAGCGTAGAATATCCGAACGTAGGCGAGTCAAGCAACTGCCACGCACACATCATTTTGGTCTTTTAGGCGACCCTACGCTTATCTTAAACTCCTTTCGTAGCCTACCATTGCATTGTCAGGTCCCTGACAGTCGCTGCGAGCCCAGGGGTAAAGAAACCATCCAGCCATTGCCTGCGATCATCGCTCGGACTATGGTCCTATGACCAAAGAAATGAGCACAAATTCCCCGTCGGCACAGTGAGAATCTCACTCTGGGCTCAGCACCCAAACAGTTGTGCCATGCCAGCACAATAGTCAGAAGTCCGAGCAAATATCCGAATGCGAGTCCGAATGCGATGAACAAACTACGATAAATTTGGATATCAGCGAAACGGGGTCAAATTGTTGACGTTCAGTCGTCATTCTCCAGGTTTTGCGCATGTTCTTCTTCCTCTTGTTATTCTTTCGAAATACAGATCCAAAACCTAATGCTCTGCCTCTCGCTACTCCTCTTGTCGACCCGAACGCTTGCGGCAATCGACCGGTACACGTTAGTTTCCCGGTACAATCCTACCCGCAATGCATCCAGCCTCACTACACCGATGCAAGTAGGAAATGGAAACTTCGCTTTCGGCGCCGACGTGACAGGTCTCCAAACGTTCCAGCCATTCGCCATCATGTCTTCCTGGGGATGGAAAAACGACAGTTTGCCTCCAGGTAAAACGATGGACGACGTGAATGACTATCATGGTGCAAGCTGGTATAATCATGGACGACTTGTCGAGTATGATTTTGGGGGCAGTGATGAGCTGATCGAGCAATGGCTCACCGCGAACCCCAATCGTGTCAATCTGGGACGGGTGGGGCTAGTGTTCCGGTCAGCCGAAGGAGAGGTACTCAGCGTGACGGAAAGTAATTTGACGGATATTCATCAGGAGCTCAACCTCTGGATAGGAACAATTACAAGCGGATTCTCTTTTGGAGGAGAGCCAATTATTGTCACAACGACATGCGCACAGGATCGAGACACCATTGGGATCAGTATCGAATCCACATTACTGAGCGACGGCCAGTTGGGCGTGTTCGTAGACTATCCGTGGAATGATGGTTCGGCCATGTTCAGCGGGGCGTTTGTTGGAAACTGGAGCGCTCCTGCCAACCACACAACCTCGATCAGTACTGGCGTTGAGGGCCACAAGGCAGAGATTGTCCACACACTCGATGAAGCCTCGTTCATCACTTCTTTTGACGGCGATACCTTCACCATATCCCGCGATTCTCCCGATGCCCATCGTTACACCATCCTACCCAGAGACTCTACGACTGGAACATTCCGAATCGCAGCCACATATGGCATCGCCAGTCCTATTAACAGAACGAGTTATGAGGCTACAGACGCTTCATCGCGAACGACTTGGGACACATTTTGGTCACAAAATGGTTTCGTCGACGTGTTTACCGAATCTTCAGATCCGAGAGCAGATGAACTACAAAGGAGGATTATTCTGTCCCGATATTTGATGCGCGTCAATGAGGCGGGTGACACGCCGCCGCAGGAGGTAAGTCGATTTCGGACTGTATACAAGTCAATCCTCACGCACGTTGCCAGTCCGGGCTAGTGAATAATGGCTGGGTGAGTCACTTTGCACCATTCTAAAAAAAAGGACTCACAAATCCTTTCATAGTACGGGTAAGCATTTTCGAAATATGTTGTATGCATCGCTTTGAATTCACTATCCGGATAATGTAGGAAGTTCCACATGGAGATGTTCTTTTGGCACTCGGCACACTGGGCTCTCTGGAACAATTGGGAACTGGTCAACCGGTCTACCGGTACCTACGCCAAATTCCTGCCATCCTCTATAGTCAGGTCGCAAGAGCAGCAACACTGGCCCTCCGGCGCACGGTGGCCAAAGATGACCGACCCTTCAGGTCGTTCATCCCCGGGCGAGATAAACAATCTCTTGATCTGGCAACAGCCGCACCCGCTCGTATTTGCGCAGTATGCATATCGGGCATCACCAACAATGGAGACTCTGCATAAGTGGGAGGATGTTGTTCGTGAAACGGCTAACTGGATGGCTGCATTCGCGTGGTACAACGAGTCTACAGGCGTATATGACCTTGGCCCACCCATGCACGTCGTCAACGAAGATACCAGTCCCAATGTGACTGTGAATCCAGCGTTCGAGTTGGCGTATTGGCGTCTGGGATTGGGCTTTGCGCAAGAATGGATGGAGAAGCTGGGCGCAGAGGTCCCAAAGAATTGGACCGTGGTCAAGGACAATCTTGCAGTATTCCCTGTGAACAATGGCACGTACAAGATATACGAAACACTTGAAGACGACTTCTGGACGGATCCAGCATATACCAACGGTCACCCTTCATTAGTGGGACTATATGGATGGCTTCCGGAGACAGAGGGTTTGAACCTCACGATTGCGAAAGCAACGGCTCAGAAGGTACGGGAGGATTGGAATGCAAACAGCTTCTGGGGGTGAGCCGATCTAAATCATCTTTGCTCGGTAACTGAAGAACTTACAGGTGGGATTTCCCGATGCTTGCAATGTCGTCCGCACGTAATGGAGATGCTGAGGACGCCGTGGATTGGTTGTTAGACCCCCTTTTCAATTTCGACGACGTTGGGATGCCATCGACAAACATACCTATACCTCCGCCGTATTTTCCGGGCTCAGGTGGACTCTTGTACTCTGTGGCGATGATGGCAAGTGGGTGGGACGGTAGCGAAGGGGATGCGCCGGGATTTCCGAAAGACGGCTGGGTCGTTCGCTACGAAGGATTGAGTAAAGCGTTGTAAATTGTAGTGATCAACAAGCTTTTTGTGTGTTTTACCGGAGAAGCTCATAGTTTACGATGGTGCCAGCACTCTTCAAGTCTCCAACCATCATAACGGCTTCGACGACGAACATCTCGCATCTGTATCAACCTCAACCTACGGACTTTTGGTTGGGGTTAAATGTTATACAATAACTTATATCTACAGTCAAGGAAAGTGTCGAGAAAAGATTGTCAGAAAATGCTACAGAGAATATATAGATGTGAGGTGGAGTCATGACATAGCTTTTGTCAAGGCGAAGGAGAGCAAGGAAGAAGACAGTGAAGGAAAATGCGAAGTTGCTAAATCTTGAAACGGCGGCGGCAACGCATCATGCATCATCATTGGCAAATTGCCAACTATCATGATTCCTTTTCTGGAATTCACTTCCTACCACGTCCTCGACATCGCCACGACGTGCTCACAGACAACCAAAGAGCGATGTTTTGGATACATGAACTTAGATTTATCCCTCACACACGATCCAGATGGCTTCACTCATATACGACTGGATTTCTGTCAGGGGATCCGGAGTTTCGAGGAGCTTCTATGATTTCCTAGTTCCTATTTCCTATGTCGCATCTAAAGCCCCTCCCTGCATCTTCTGTTCAGTGGCGATCCATGATTCCAGAATAATACGCCGAGCGAGTACAGTGTACACAGCAGTCGGCAGTCCAGGAACCTCTTAGGCACGCGCCCAACAGTCCTTCTGATGTACTACAACTGTTCCTGGGCAAACTTAGAGACCATTAACTGGGAGGACATCCGTTCTGTCCAGTTCAAGAGTCGGCCTACTCGTTCGAAGAACCGAAAATCGAAGTTGGAATCGAAAATCTTCGTTTTGCAATTTTACCACTTATCCGACATTTCCGCAAATAACCTCCGGCAGCAATTTTCCTTGTATATTTGGTGGTGTCTGAACTTCTCCCCTCCTACAAGCCGGAGTCCGGTGGCCTTTCATCTCTGACTCTGGAGGAGTGTCGAAGAGATCTCCATGTTCTGGTTTGCCAAGGAATTCCGACGGCTTTCCTGCATTGTCTTCCGCTTTGGCAACTCGCGAGCTGAAAATCGCTTGGATAATGTGGCAGGCGAGTAGATAGCAGTCCGAGAATGAGAACAACTGGAATGTCACGGTCATCAAAGAATTTGGAGTATGCATGTTCCATAGTATCTCCTGGGCGGTGATCTATCCGTTTGGTTCCGCCGATCCTCTCATCAATGCGACTGGCATTGCTCTCTATTCCAATGGTATAATTTCATCCAGACAGTATCGCTAGTTAATGCTGACCGTTTCCGTTGCAGTCATTAACATAGTCCATCTTGACACGCCTCTCATTCTCTTCGAGCTTACTAGGGGGTTTCTCGTCACCATGATTCGTCGACTATTTCACAGAGCGAGTGCTAGAACGCGACAGTTCGCGTGCTTATACAACCTTCAGCTATGCCAAGACGGCATTCAAGGCATACAAGGGCCCTATTAAAACTGGGTTCGTGTCCATAGTCTTTTGACGCTGCATTAAAGTTGATTGAACATACATTCTCCAGATTTACTTACAATGAACCCTGCGATTATTGTAACCTGGTCACCTCCTGCCTTGTGCACGGTGTAGGTTCGGTATTTAGCACGTCGATTACACGACACTAGAGGGAATGTAGAATCATTCGGTGCTGTC